CAAATTTTGATATTCCTATTATCTATTTCAAAAGTCAATCTATCAATTATAGTGTAATTCAATTAACTAAAAGACAAATTTGAAATGAAAAATTATGGTCATGACAAGAAATAAAAAATAATAAAAATGCAAATACTAAAAAAATACAACAATTGACTAAAAACAAACTTGAAATACCAAATAAAAAGTTCATAGATTATAATTATAAAATTAAAAAAAATTGTGAAACTGCAAACATTATAAAAAAACAAATCTCATAAATGGAAAAAGGAAATGTAATAAAGGACATGAAATATATTTATATAACATTTCCATAAAAAAAAAGAAAAAGAAAAACCATTAGTCACATGAAATTAAAAGTTAAAACATATATGTTAGAAAATCAAGAGTAAATGCTCAATTTAGGATTTAACCTTTGAGTAATTTTCAATTAATGATAAAATGTTTTATTTGATACAATTTAAAACCAAACGTTTTCAAACTTGCTAAATTCAGTATCTTTTAATGGGAATGAAAAACAAGCATAGTTAAATTAATTAACGACGACATATGGCAATTATATGTGCTTATGTGGCTACCAACACATATGCATAAGTGTAATTTAAGATAATTTATATTATTCTTACAAAAACTTCCTCTCTCTTTCTTATTTTCTTTCCCTTTCAAGAGTTTCTTTTCCTTATTTCTGACATTAGGGTTAGCAAATTTTGGGTGTGGAAAAAATTTAGCAAATCATTTCCTAAACTTGAATGTCTTCTAAGTCTCAAATATGAGTTCTTCAACTTGGAGTTGGGATTATGACTCGGTTAGTGATCATTCACCATTAGTAAAGTTGGGGTAACCAATTTTTTAGTGTCAGAGGCTTCAACCATCAAAATGGATTTTTGGTTCATACTAGTTACCATTGATTGTGCAGTGAGAGTAGAATTGAAGATCGACAATTGTCTCTTATTTAGTCTCAAACTTTGTAGGTCAACTCTCTATAAGCTTTCAACACATGGAATCACTGAAACTAAAGAGATGACTAATAAAATGCTGCTTAGTTTTGCCACCTTCCCTTCTTTCTATTTGGTAGAGATTTGATCCAAATATCTAGCATATATTTAAGGTAAATGTCTAAAAATAAAAGAATTAGCTAAAGGAATTTTACTTTGAACAATTTGGCAAGGAAACATTAGAGAGATAAATCCCTAATTTTTTCCCAAATTATATGAAGTATTTTTTTTTTATTTATTTAGTTGTTTGGTTGAGTACTATGATAAAGTGAATAGGAATTTTTTTTTCAAAATCAAATTTTCTCTAACATAAACTAGATTTTTTTTATTCAAAAGCTAATTAGTGAATTGGGATAACCATCTACAACAAAAGCATAGACATCACTCCTATATATGTTCAAATTTTGTATTTGATAGTATTTGGAAGAATTAGATTTGAAAAACAAGGGAAAGTTGGTGTGAGAGAAAGAAAGTGAAGTGGTAGAGAGAGGAAAGTGGGAAGAAAATGAAATTAAAGACCATTTAGGCTACCTAGACAATCAATTCACAAAAAAAAAAAAAAAATCGCATCAGCTTGACATTAAGCCTTTGACATTTTATTATCGAACGTGTATTTCACCCAAATATTTTTATCTAAAAAGATCCTAAATTTTTGTCAATTAATAATGTTTAATTTTTATTTGTATAAAATCAAACGTTTAGTTCTTAATTGAGCAACCACGTAAATATTTGGTTATAAACTAAGCACTTAGTCGAAAATCAAAGGTTTTAATAAATTTTAAGAAAAAAAATGATTTTAAAGAATATTAGGCAATTAAAAGTCTATTGGATTTTTTGTAATAAAATTAAGAAATATATGTTTAGAATTAATGTAAAAAAAAATCTTGACATTTATTATAAAACATTTTGTTTTATATTATATATGATTAAAATAAATAGATATATAAAAAAAAAACAAATTTGTCTAAATATAATAATAGTAGAAAGACTTGTACGTGAAGAAAAAACAAAAAAAAGAAAAGTTCCAAATGTTCTTTTTTATTTCCATTAGTTAATAATTTTAATATTGTCAAAGGTATATATATATATATATATATATATATATATATATATATATATATATATATGTATTAAGGATAACAACAAGCAAAGTCGGGTTTTCATCCGTCCCATCTTCAATTCGACTCTTAAAAAGTTTTATCTGACTCTAATCTGATTAGATATTGAGTTATTATTTTTAATATCCGACTTTGACTCGATACATATCAATATAACCTATATTCGATTTAAAATTAATTTAATATAATATTCATAAAATATCTTTAATATATATTATATCTTAATTATATGAAAATATAATATTTTTATTAGATTAATATCTTAAATTATGATATTAAATAATAATTTTATTAATATATATACATATTTATAAATATAAAATTAAATAAATAATCAAATATATTAATATACATACCAAGGTGAATGGAGGCAAAGTACCTTGTAACCGCCTTTGACTTGACCATAAGTTTTTAAAAAATATTCAACTTACCTCTAATCTTAATTTTAATTAAAAAATATTTTAATTAGATCGAAATAGGTCAAAACTCATCAAATACAATTTATTTTATCATCCATAATATATATATATATCTATTTTTATGTATACAACTTGTTTTACCATCTTAATATATATATATTTATTAGTTTTTACTCCAATAAGTTGGTTCCATAAGAATTATCAGGGAATCTTGGTATCGTTCAACTATAGCCACAAATTATTACATCATAATAAGTAAATAAAAATTTCTTAAATACTCACCTTTTCTTTAAAAAAATTCTAAAAAACTACTTACTTTTCTTTATAAAAATCCAACATACTCTAAATTAATTTTACAGTCTATAATCTAATCACAAAAAATATAAAAATTTAATAGATTCTAAATTAATTTTATCATTTATAACCTAACTCCTCTGACTTTTCCCTTTAAAAGTTAAAAAAAAAAAAAATTAGAAGTGGGCATAACTCTTAAAAAATATATAAAAAAGATTTTAACTTAGAAGTCGAAATCTCTGTAATTTCATAAACCCTTTTTAACCAGACAAAAAATTGGAGAACAAAGTCTAAAAAACCATTTGCTTCTCGTTGGCGAAGCTCCGTTGTTATCGTCGTTGTTAGTCGATAACTTATTTCGATTCCTCGTTATCTTCTTTTTTCCTCTTTTTTGTTTGGATTTTTCTAAATCTCTTTAGAATTCTTAGACCTAGTTTTTAGTCTTTGGTCTCCATTGCCTATTTCGCCACCAAAAACTCCCAAAGTTGCTACTTTCTTTCTTTACTTCCTTCTTCGGTTAGGAGAACTCAAAATGAAACCCTAAAAACTGTGCCTTGAACCATTTGAAAAAAAATACTCACTACCAAAACTTTTTCCTCAAAATTGCTTCTAAATATGGTTGTTGTTGATTAATTGTGTGTTTTTATAAAGGGTGTTTTCTTGCAAAATATTTTAGGGTTTAATCAAAGATTTGAGACATCGGATCTGCCTTTCGCTTTCTTGCTTTTTTTTTTTGTCAATTTTTTGTTTTTCAACTTCAAACTAAATTTTTTTTTGTGCGTGATTTTCCTTGATTCTCAAGTTTTTCAAATCTTTTCAGTTTTGTTCAACAGTCCAATATTCTTCTTTTTAATTTTTTTTTCTTTTCTTTTTTAATTTTTCTGATTTTTCAAAATTTTATCTAAAAGAAATTTTAAATAAGAAATAAAAGAAATGAAAAAAAGATGTAATAAAAACAACGTACCAACGACACATTTTTATTGGGCTCAAAGGCCAAATCCTAAATTTACAAATTAGATAGTCCAAGGTATAATTAGGTAGTCCAAGGTCAAAATTTGAGTCCCAATTAACAAATTTATTAGCCTAAAAATGAATTTAAAATCCCGAAAATTAATTTGGATAAATTCGATAATCCAATTTAGCTTAAACTCAATTTATCATTAATTCAAGTTAAATTTAACTAGACAATTGAATTAGTAATTGAATTCGGTTCAATGAAAGCTGACCTAAAAAAAAATTTCAAAAATTATCGAATAAAATGAGATATCTACTGTTATTATGTGAACATAAAATGCAGATATAAATGAAATTTGCGCTTGAATCGTGCACGAGAGAGCCCTACAGAAGCGAGTCATTTTCAAGCCGAGGAACAATCAAGTAGAGATTTCCCCCTTAGAACGCCTTATCCTTTAGCAGAACTTCCTCTTCTGAATTTGATTTTAAGGCACTGACAATTAGATCTCCACATCACTTTTATCCAATTTCCTTTTCCTCAAAACTTATATGAAATTTTTTAGATAAAATTTATAAATTTTTTTTTAAAATAGATTAATAAAATTTTAACAAAAAATCTAAATTGATACATTGATAAAATTTAATATGGAGATTAATAATACATAAAAATATTATTCATAATTTAAATTTGATCAATACTTATTTAAATAGTAAAAATTCTATTAATATTTTTATTAAAAATATATATAAAAATTTATTAATTTTTTTAAAATTTTGTACACTTAATATATATAACGAAGTCTTTTTATTTGTCGATTTTAATTTTTATTTAATCATTTTTAATAAAAAATTTCACAAATTGTACTTAAAAAACTTCATTTAAATCTTTCCCTTTCCCTTTATCTCCACACCACTTACATGCTGAAAACCTAAAATCATAACAAAACTCAATTCTTCTGCTTTTCATCATTTAATTTTTCAAGCTATATTTATGTCAAACACCAAATTGTCAAGCTAATTGAGTCCCTTTTTTTCCACATATATTACAAGAACGGTCCCTTTCATTTAAGACTAATTAAAATCCTAAATGACTGTCTATATTGTGTATCAATTTATGAATTAAAATGGAGATAATTATAATCTGTGACTTGTATCTTTCTTCTGTCTTCAAGGATCCTTTTTTTTTTTTTTTTAAGGATAGCTGGATTCAATTTCAATTATTTCATCAAAGAATGTGTTTATTTAATTACCATCGAATCAAACATTCATGTGCACAAAACTTGCTTTAAAACAAAAGATGGTAACATTAATCTTCACTAACTTCTACACGCGCGTCTGTTTAGATGAAGTTCAAACAATTGTTATTAGTTTTCTATGGTTTTAATTAAAAGAACATGATGGCTATGGTGAAGGGTGGATGAGAATTGGTTTTGCATGACCCTATTGCAGTATGCTGAGAAATACTGAAAAAGAAGCCAAAGCTTGAGAAAGACAGAAATGGATAAAGCAAGTCGATCCGGAAGGTGACCGCCAAAAGGGAAACTCAGAACAGGTATAATGTAGCAGGAGGGGACGCAGCAACAAAAGAGTCTCATTCATACTCCTAGCAAGACGGAAAAGTATTGACAGAGAAATGAATAGAAGGACCAATTGACTCATTCTCATCCTGAGCACTTAAGACCTACAAGAAATCCCTTGATTAGAGAGGTAACCAATGAGAAGACAGAGATCAGGATGAACTTTTCAGTCTCAACCAATGAAAATCCAGATAAGGCCTTTTTGGCCCCCAAAGCACGATACATCACTGCTTAAAGGGCCCAAAAGTGCATCCAAATGCTGTAAAAAGAGCGGTTTGCGGGTCTCAACCCCCCCCCCCCCAAATACAAAATAATTGTACCAAAATTAATAACGCGCAATTCAACATTTCCTGATGCGCTTAGGTTTGATTCGTTTTACTCTGATTTTGTTTTTCAGATTAATTTCTACGCTTGTAACTTTGCTTTTTAGAATCCCACTTTTTTGTTTAGTTTGAACCAATCGAGATATTAGCTCCATGATTTCTACCAAAAATGTGGCCAACGCCATTGGTGGCAAAACGGCTAGAGCTTGTGATAGCTGTATAAAGAAACGGGCTGGTTGGTACTGTGCTGCTGATGATGCTTTCCTTTGCCAAGCCTGTGATTCTTCAGTTCATTCGGCGAATCCACTTGCCCGTAGACATGAAAGAGTTCGCCTGAAAACTGCTTCTGTTAAGTCCTCAAATAATGAAGCTCCTTTGGAGAGCTTTTCACCATCATGGGATAAAGGGTTTACTAGAAAGGCAAGGACAAGGCGACCCGCAAAGGCTTCTATTCATCAAAAGCCTTTTAAAGCTGAGAATACGAAAAGGAACAACAACCCCGCTCCTCTTGTGCCTGAAGTTGGTGCTGATGAGATATCGCATGAAGAGAACGAAGAGGAGAAGTTTCCTCATAGGGTACCAATATTTGATCCCTTTGTTTCTGAACCATGCGCTTCTGCAACATCAAATGATGCTACTATGGGGGCTGTGAGGAACGACTCTGAAACAGCTGCAGCTGCTGCGAGTGAGTCTAAAGCTTTCCTGGCTTGTAATGGACATGATGTGAATGGCTCACATGGGCTTTTCCCGTCTGAGATGGATCTTGCTGAGTTTGCAGCTGACGTTGAGAGTTTGCTTGGTAAGGGTCTTGAAAATGAGTCCTTTGCCATGGAGGAGATCGGGCTAATGGACTCTAAAAAGGACTTACTCAGGGATTGTTCCTTAGAAAACGGTAAAGTGAAGATTGAAGATGAAGAGAGTTTTGAAGCTGGTAAAGAGTGCCATGTCGATTCTGAAACCGATACGGTGAGAGAACCCTTTGAGTTGAGTTTTAATTATGAGTCTCCAGCAACCTGTGGAGAGGAGAATGAGTTGGTAAAGGAAGAGGTAACAGTGAAGAGTAATGGGGATGTGGAATATGAGGAGGATACTGCCAAAAAGAAGAGGAAGTTACTTTTGAGTCTGGATTATGAAGCGGTAAGCACTGCCTGGACAAGCCAAGGGTCTCCATGGACTTCTGGTGGCCGACCAGACTTTGACCCAGACGAATGCTGGCCCGATTGCATGGTAGCTTTCTACTTAATGTTCCCATGTAATTAACTACTCCATAGATAGATGTTTTGCATCCTGCAGAATGCCTCACTGCATAATTTAGCACAAAAACGAGAAAGGGAAAAATCCAAAGGACATACGGTTAACCTCAAACAATATTACAGCAACTAATTTCTAGTTTGTTTTATTTTCTTGCTTCCCTTATGAAGTATGAACAATTTTGTAGGCATTAAGCTATTGCTAATTACAAGATTTTTCAATTTCCAGGGAACTGGTGGAACCGAAGTTCACCACAGCTATAGTGATTTGATAGGAATGGGAGCCCAACAGGCAATGAGGGATGGAGGTAGAGAAGCAAGAGTATCAAGGTACAGAGAAAAGCGGGGAACAAGGCTGTTCTCGAAGAAAATCAGGTACGAGGTTCGCAAACTGAATGCGGAGAAGAGGCCTCGAATGAAAGGGAGATTCGTCAAGAGGGTATCCTTTCTTGCAGGACCCGCTTTTCCTTTGCTCAACAAATAGCTGTTTAAACAATTCAACTAATCACCTGTGAACTAATGTGAATTACTTGCTAGTTCCTACTGCTTAGCCACTTAGGCCTAATATTCTCTACACTCCAAATAATTAATAAATAAAAGGTGAGTTGCTGTATGTTTTCTTCGTTTTTCTCTGACATTCTCTTCTTTTCTTTCCTGAAATCTGAATTCTGAAGAAGAATTGATTAATACTTTCATGTCTTGATTCGATTTGATTTTTGCTTTTCTTAACGCGGTTCCCATTAACAACTAACAGATTTCAAAATGATAGTACAAATTGCAGGTGCAACTGATCACTACACCCAATTGGGCTAACAATTTTCTCTCGCCTTGTCAACATTGAAGATATGAAGAGATCGAGTTCGCCCAATCAGGAAAGAATTTATAATCATAATAATGCACTATTATGATGAAATTAAATGCATAAAATGTTATAATCAAATTAAATAATTATTAATAGTTAGGAAGGTCATCGGATCGAAGAGGTGGATAGAACAATTTTCGTCCTCGCTTTATATAATATCTTTATTTTCGTACCTTTATTCATTTTTAAATATAAATTAATGCATATATCTGTTGTTGTGAGGATTTAATCGATCTGAAAAATCTCTATACGCATGGTTCTTAAATAAATTAAATATAAATATTAAAATATTTAATACTTATTAAAGTAAATAAAAACTTATAAACAATACACACATTAAAACAAATTTAGATAATAACAATTTAAAATAAATCAAAAACTTATATATATTTATTAACATAATGTAAATATATATTGAATATAAATATGAGACAAGTGTTATATTATTCGTACTTATATCTAACCAACATTTTAAAAACATACTCATCTTTGACTTTGAAATTTGATGCCCATATCCAATCGTATCTGGATAAAAAAATTAAGTTTGCCATCGAATATGGTACATTTGGCATTTCTTTCGATAGTGATAGATCCAAAATTTAACTACGATTAGATAATAATAAATTTTTTTTTCATAAAATACATAATATAAAATCTATTAACACAAAACAAAAAGAAAATTTTAATGTAAATAAAATACTAAAATAAAAAAAGGATGATTATTATATTACAACTAAATATATGTATTGGGACCTAAATAATAACTTTAATTTCTTACTTACTTTTCAAAAATATACTATGTAATCTTATATTTTATATAAATATATAAAAACTAAAACCTTTAATAAAAAATGAAATAATCTGATATGAATAATCTACATTTTCGACATGTGGATAATTTAAAAAATTAACATGTGTTCAAAATTAATTATGCATTTTAAATTTAGTTTAATTATAAAATAAATTTAATTTAAAATATCTTATTTCCTTCTTATATAAATATAAATATAAAAAGCCAAAGCTTCTAATAAAAAAAGAAATAATCTGATGTGGATAATTTGCATTTTCGATATGTAGACAATTTAAAAAATTGACATGTGTTCAAAATTAATTATGTATTTTAAATTTTAAAATTAAAATTTAATGATAAAATAAATTTAATTTAAAATATCTTATTTTCATCTTATATAAATATATAAAAGCCAAAATCTTTAATAAAAAAGAAAAAAAAATCTGATGTGGATAATTTACATTTTCTATATGTGGATAATTTACAAAACTAACATGTGTTCACAATTAATTATTTATTTTAAATTTAAAATTTAGAAGTTAATGATAGAATAAATTTAATTTAAAATATCTTATTTCCATTATTATAAAACATATTCAATTATTCTTATTAACATTTATTTTTAAATGATTAATTGACTAAAATAAATTAAGAAACAAATAAGGAGTAATAGTATGTTAAATTGAGAATCATTTATGCTTGATAATTAGAATAGTCAAGTATAATATATATTCAAAACACTTGAAAGAAATAAAAAAAGAGATCTTGAAATTAATGTAATAATGATAAAATTAATTTTTTATTAAATGATAGTTTTTGTACATTCCATAAATTAGTCTCATTACTTTCATTTTTAGTTTTCAGTTAACTTATTATAATAAATATTAAATACCTTGAACATCTTATTAATCTTATATCCTATCTTATATAAATATATAAAAATCAAAGCTTTCAACCAAAAAAAAAAAAATCACTGTGGATGTTCTTTTTTTTTATACATGTACAATAATGAATAAATGACATATGTCATTTAATAAATATATTTTATTTTATTTTATTTGATGCATTTTTAATTTTAAAAAATCAATACACTTAATTTGATTTGTTCATTGTAATGTAAAAAAAGGAAATTTACTTAATTTAGATTTTTACATTTATTCTCTTTTAAATATTTATTACTCTTATCTTATATAAATAAGTTTCAATTTAATTTGTAATCAAAGTTAATTATTTTTTTCCTTAAATCACTCTCAATTAAATTTTATTCTTAATTTTTCACACCAACTTCAACATTATAAATAGGAATATATTTTTGTCCATTAGAGATAATAGTAATGAACGTTTGTTCTATAATTATATTATGTTATGTTTCTCTTTTTTTTTTATTTGTTCCATTGATATTTTTTTTTTCTTACATTTGTTTTATTCCTCTTTATTTCAAAGTGTGATTTCTTTTATTGTTTCTAAATATTAAATTTTGATTTTTAGCAAAAAAAAAAAAAATCTAATCAACTTTTAGTTTTTGGAACAATATTAGTATAGTATGCAAATATGTTGATATGCCTTAGAAATTAATCTAAACATTTTATACACAATATAAAATGGCTTGTTCTATTTTATCTTTATATTTAATTTTTAGTTTATTTTTTAACAAAGTAATTTAAAATTTTTATGTGCAAATGTAAATTCATATGTTATGTGATTAATATTGATCACAGAATTTTATCAACTTTTCTAATTGGTAAAAAGTTGTTACTAGAAACACGTCTGATTCAAATATTATAGTGAAAGATTACTGCCATGAAAATGATAGGATATGGTACACAAAGGAATGTCTAGACAAATATGGATGGCTTACACTAATTAGTCTTGCATGGGATTAGCAATTTCTAAATTTCAATTATTCCAATACAAAATGAAATTCAATTATCTTATACATATAAATGAAAACAAAATTTTAATTCATTACTTAAATTATAAATGTATTGATTTCTTAAATATTATTATATGTAATTGGAATCATGCTAATTGATTTGTTAGGTCATTTCTTTTAAAAATTCAAAACAAAATTGAAGTTCACATTAATCACTTAACTTACAATCTCCATCAATTACCTCTAACTAAATTAATTGGTGTCTTTTAACTTTGAGAAATGTGTTAGAAATGTGTTGGCATTCATTGGAGTAAATTGAATAATAGAGATAATAAATTATTGCATTACTAGAGATTTGTTATTTATCCATCAGTAGGCTATGACATTTTTGGAAAAATGAATCCAATAATAAGAAATTTTGTTAATAGACACAAAGTTTTTAAGAGTAAATTTGTTTTTTAAAATTAAAGTAAAAATCAAGTTTCCATACAGTATTAGTATTGATCAAATCAAGTGTTATTTGACAAACCAAAGTTAAATGAGTATTTAAACTTCTTAAGAGATTGAGAGCTAAGAATTAATTTATCTGGATGATTTATATAGTAAATATAATATTACAATCATTTCCTTATAAATAACCAATGTTTTTAATCTTTTATGAATGAGTTACAATTGAAGTTGCAATTAAATTTTAAATTTTCATTATTGCTTACCTTCAATTGCTCAAAATTAAATTCCATTATTAACTTCTAACATTCAACATTAACACTATATAACAATAGGAGTTTGATTTGATGTATTACAAATTAATAATTAATATTGAAAAAATTTTAAATATAAATTATTATTGAAAGATCAAATTTCAATTTTATATAGTCTTTCTAATATTACAATACTACATTAAATGAAAGATTTCTTTTCTATCTCATGAGAAAAGAATTTGCGTTACTTTCAATTAATTAATTCATATAAAAAACATACTTTAAAAAATTATTATTTATTAACTATTTGACATTTGAACAAAAACTTATAAAATTTGAAAATTATATAGTCATTAAATTAATAACTATATACTTTTTAAAAAAGTTTTATTAATTTCATTACCTTATTTAGATAAAATTTGTCCTACATTAAATTAGTACTACGTACTCTTGATTTGATTTTTATATCATTTAATATTTAATATTTATAATCTAGTATCGAATATAATATTAAAATATATGTACATATTAGTGGAAAACAATGGTATGTGCAAGTATGAAATAAAATCTTTTAATTTTATTTTTTAATGATTAATTGACAAAGATGAATATCACTGGATTAACTGTAATCAAATTATTAGATTTTTTTAACATATAAAAATAAAATTTTACAATTAATTTTAACATATATTTTTTAGATTCTAAATTCTCTTAATATTTTTGTTTGATCGATGAATTCATAAAAATTAAAATAACTCATTTTAAAATGAGTGATTGTCGAATCATGAATTAATGTTATATTTTTGTGTGCTTTATCACACATTTTATACCAAAATCCAAATCTCTTCTTTTAATTCTAAGTAACAAAACCTAATATAGGTTGTTGAAAAAATAAAGACAAAATATGCTTTCCCATTTTAAATGAAATTTTGCATGGAAAATCTTTTATATTTTGATTTTAGATTAAAATAAATACAACAATAGCATATAAATTTAGTTAAAAGAAATATAATATTATCATATTAAATTTAATTAATTAAAATAATTTTATAAAAAAATAAAAATTCTGTGCATCGCACAGGTCATAGACTAGTAAATATATAAAAGGCAAAAGCTCAAACAAAAAGAAAATAATTTGATGTGGATACAATCTAAAAAATTGACATGTATTTTCTAATAAATGCATTTTAATAATAAAAACACTAAATTAAATAAAATTTTTTTATTTGTCTTAAATAATTCTCAATTAAATTTATAAAGAAGGAAATAAAAGTTTAATTGACATCATTGATATATAGAATAATTTTGTTAAAACTTTTTTCAATTATAAATATTCAACTTTGAATTATATGTGTAAAAAATATTCACTTTCCAATATT